AATTTGGGGAGTTAACACAAATTGTTAATCAAAGTCGGACACGTGGCAGTTCGTATTGGTAATAATGGATCTGCATAGCACTGTAACAATCGAGAGATACAAGATGATGTGGCCTAATGGTTACTCATAAAGTTTAAATTCAAAATCAGGAAAGAAGCCTAACTGCAAGAGTGACATAGTAGGATTGACTGTGAGAGAGCATGTTCAGTAATTATTGGAGGACATTTCGACGGTTGGAAGCCCACTTCGACGATTACCACTGAGAAGTATAAATAGTAAGGAATGCCCCAGAATGAAGCCCCCCAAACTCAGATAAAAAAAACAGTTTGTTTATTTCATTTTACTTCTATTTTTACAGTTCTTTACATTTCTGCACTTCAATTCCTGTACTGCACTTCATTTCTTAAGAGTAGTTTCAAATAGTTTGTTGCTGTGAACCTCTACGAGACTGGGTCAGATCATTGGAAGTTCTCATTTACTTAATGAAATTCAGATTCTGAAATTGTTCTTCACTTATTATTATTTACTAATTTCTCCTAAACAAGCCACCAGTGAAAGTCCTCTTCATTGAGGCTGAAAGAATTACAACACAATCGCTTGATAATTGGTTGGCAATTATAAATTCTGTAAGGACTAAGTGATCCTTACTGGCATGCTTAAATTTACATTATTAACCTTCGAAAGCCAAAAAAAACTAACAATTATATAGCATGTTAACGAAATCTTAAATTAATGGTTAACAATACTGTTTAAAACACAAGGAAATTTTATTTTATTTTTAAAAAGTTATAAAGCATGTTCACGAAATCTTAAATTAATGGGTAATAATACTATTTAAAACACAGGGAAATTTAAAAACTTAAAATGATTTTGATAATTATTAAACACAGAAATATTGATTGTGCTCAAGCTTTGGCTGCTTCGCGTGTTCTTCAATTTGCTAAGGACTTTTGTCTCACACATATCCAACTGGATGATGATTTTCTTACGTTGCATTTGGTTATGAGATTTGAGAAGAGATTTACAAAGAGAAAGAAAAAATATAAGTGAAATGTGAATAAAATATTCTTACATTTCACCTAATTTCACATATTTTTTTCTTTTTATTTTCAATTTTTTTTTAAATCGTCCAACCAAACATAACTTTAATGTTATCAACGCGATTCAAGAGTCAAGTGATGCTTTATCTCAATTTGGTCATATTGTTTTGGCTGCTCATGATCTACTAGTATGTTGTTCGTTGGTTAATCATGTGTATCGTGAGGGTAATTTTGTAATTCACTATTTGAACAAATTAACATTTGATTGTGTTGACTTACAGATTTCGATAGAAGATATTTCACCCTCGCTTGTTTCTTTGATTGTGGCAGAAGCCCTTTATTTCTATATAATATTCTCCAATTTCTAAAAAAAAAAATTAAAAAATTGTGTTTTGTTATAGAATATGAGAAATTTATAGAGTAAAAAAATATTAATTTATAATTTATTTTCAAATTTATTATTCAAACGCAAACAAACAATTTTATCCACAATTTTGTTACTTACCTAATTCAAAAAATAAAACAAAAGTGAAAAGTGTTTTTTTACTCCAGTAGGTGTTTTCTTTATTCTCATAATAGCAATAATTATATATATACATTGTAATTAAGAATACTAATATTTTTTATTTAATAAAATACAATGTAGTATTATAAATCTAGATTTAACTATAATCCGTAATTATTATCTCATAATAATTCAAATTTATTCTATACATCGATCAAATATTATACCAATTCAATCTCAATTACACAATTTTGTTAGCATAAATTAGAAATGATTAAGGTAGGGCACATACAATCAATTGTTCATTGTGAAATGTTCTTACTATAAGCCAGTCCGTAATCATTAATTACATAGGTAAACAAAAGTCTAGTTGGCTACAAAATCTAATCAACTACCTACTGCCAAAAAAATAAAAATAAAAATTGTACAAAATGTAAGAAAATTTTGGTGATGAATTCACTTTTATGTATGTAAAATTCAGTAATTGATCTCTTTTGATTTTTAAAAGTATGATTAATAAAATATATGAGTTAGAAATATATATCATTATTTTAAAAGACCTTTTTTTCTTATGTTTTTACCTTAGGTCAAGTTTGGGAAGTTCAAAATAATCCATCTTTTTATTTTTTTATTTTTTTTCCATCACATCGCCTCTCTACTTTTCTACACATCTTTTCATAAAAAAACAAAAAATACACTTATTTAGATCATCCCAAACAACCTCCTAGTCTCTACTTTATCTCTCTATTCCCATACACTTTTATCAATGGCCAGTCTCTAAAGACTCCCCAAAAAATTAGGGGATTAAAAATTACTTTATTTTCATTTTACAAAAATAACAAAGCCATATTTTATATAATAAAGATTTTTATCAAATGTTATAAATTTGATCACTTTTATCATTCTATTATTTCATTATACCCATCCTGTTAGACAATCAATCATTTCATGTTGATAATTATAAAGCTCACACCTTATTTATCATTATTTATTGACTTCAATGACGACATCTTCTCAAATTAATTATCATTTAATGAAGGATTCTGCTAATGATTCACCATTGGATTTTTGTTAAAATATTAAATAATATAACAAAATTAAAATTTTAAAACACATTTTTTACATATTTTTATACATATTTCAATATATTTATTACGATCGTGATACGTAGCTCGAATGCCGCTATATAGATTTACCAAAAATATTAGAAATTCTAAATATTTTATCAAATTTTTTACTAAATACTCAACATAAATGTGATCCCACACGACTATTGTGTCAAAATTTTAATAAAATATTTTACATCCTTAACATTATTATATATTTATCCATCAAAATATCAACCATCATTTCAGTGATAACATTTTGCTTTTACGACATGTGGCAAAGTGATATTATATTATTTTAAGAGTAATGCCACATCCCATCAATTTTGAAATCTCAAAATCAACCCCCAATAAACATAACAAACACTCATAGGGTAATTTTTGTATTTTAGTAAGATTTAAGTGATATGACTTATAACACATCATTAGAGTTGGTTTAGGGTCCAAAACATTTTCTTGTAAAATTATGTTGTAACGTGGGATCAGTTGATTACCTTGGTTCTTCGCCCTTATATCTAAAATCTCTAAAAGATAGTTTGGATGATTAGTCGTTTAGATTTCCATTTAGGATTATTTTAAGAAGTGGATTAAAAATTAATTTTTTGACTTTTTTTAGTTTTTCCTAAAAAAATATGTAAAAAATTAGAAAAATAATATGACCAAAAAAAATTATAAAAGCCAAAAAAAAAGACTTTTAACCTCTTCTAAAAGAGGAGGTATGAATTTCCACTCTACTTCTATATGTACACCTGAAGTGGGTCCCAATAACCCTGTCTAAGCCGAGTTCGGATCCTCTGCCGTTATTTCCTGCGGCGTCCCTGCCATGGTTCAAAACGGCGTCGTTTTGGTTAATTTTAATTTTTTTTTTTTCTTTTCTCCTCCCCTTTTCCTTTCTTTCTCATTTGCTTGAACCCTTACCCGTTGACAAAGGCAGAGGTGAAACAGAGTAGTAGGTGCAAGCAACGACTGCAACGCGAGGTGGCAAGTGGGCTACAAATGAGATGACGAGTCAGCTACGATTGAGTACATCCATTTGGGTCCTCTACTTCGTCTGCTTCATTGAATTTTACATCTTCTGTTTTGGGGTTTCTTCGAAAGCGAAGATCAGAAATGGGTTTTTGGTTTGCTCTTCCAAGTGCTCAGACAATTGGCCTCTCATCGGTGTATTGTTCAAACCATTTGAAGAGGTGAAGGAGCTCACACTCGTCCCTACTCTCCCTCCACTCTTCCATTGCTCGCCAGAAATATTCCGATGAATGCGAAGATCGAAAATGAGTTTCTAGGTTTTTGGTTTACCATTTTTTTTATATATATAATTTTGATTGATATTCATAAAAATAGTCCGATAAATGCTGAGATCAGAATTATTTTCTTTTCTTGATTGATATTCAAAATCAAATTCAATGGCAAATCTTCGAATCAAATTTATTGCCACCGATGCCGTCCTTCAACTTTGTCACATTATGGGGTTTGATACAAACAATCTAAAATCAAAATGTTTGGTTTGGTTAGATCAGTCTTGAAGCATATTCCAATCAACAATAGTAGGTAAGATTGAATATTGCAGGACCTCACCTCTGCCTCTGTCAACAAGTAAGGGTTCAAGCAAATGAGATAGAGGAAAAGGGGAGGAGAAAAGAAAAGAGAAAAAAAAAATTAATTAAAACGACGCCATTTTGAACCATGGCAGGAGACACCGCAGGAAAGAACGACAGAGGATCCGAAATCGTCTAAGCCAAGTTCTCAATCATAAAAATAAATAAATAAATAAATAAAAGGGAACGTCTTCCTTCAGTCTAATCACAGAGTAAAGAATACTGTTGAGACCGTGAGAATTCATCACAGATCCTGTTTCAATAATTCGAACCGTTCAATGTGTAGAACTCGTCGAGTGTTATATGCATATAAAAAATTACGTTAATTGAATATCGATAGCAATGTAATCATATCAATTTTGTAAGAAAAAAAAAATAGAAACAACTTACAAAAATCTAATTTAATCACATAGCTATCAATATCTGATCAACGTGATTTTTTACAAGCATATAATACTCGACGAGTTGTACACATTAAACCGTTGGAATGCAAAATCCAATCTTACCACGCCACTCTTCATCCATTTTAGGGTTACTTCCAGAAACTGCAACCATCCTTGAAAATACATTATTTTTGTCTTTAATAATATTAATATAAATAAATAAAATGATACTTAACTCTGCTGCTGCACACTACTAGACTACTTCACCTATTTTTTCTGATACCCAAAATGCTTCCACTTCTGTATTTATTATTATTATTCATAGTTGCAGTAGAGAATGATGAGCCAATGTCTATCCCAAACAGTTCAGAGCTAATGCCACAAGAAGAGAGATTTTGATTTCCAGGGTTGTAATTTCATATAATTTACATAACCACAAAAAGCTCAAGGAAAGAAACAGAACAACGAAAAATGTTCGGAAAATCAGTAAGTAGAAAAGTTCTCTTTACCTGATTCTTACATTTTTCTTTTCCTCAAATTCTCAGAAACTCAATGAAAGTACCTGTCTCAAGTTAAATGTTACATTGTACATTGAAGAATTAGTTCTAGCAAGAACCTTCTCTCTTGTCCCCTCCTGAAATCTACCATCAAACACGAATCTCACAAGCTGTTCAAAAGAACGATACACAACCGACTTCATTAAGTTGTACCAAGTTCCGTACTGGGAGCACAAGGAGCTAAAGTTTTTGCAGGTAGATTTAGACCGCCCCCTCTCAACGACAAGGTGGGGCCTTTGACAGAGCTGGCTCTGCTCACAAGATTCAAATCAAGAAATACAACTATGACAGTAATGTCATCGTGGAAATGCCGCCGGATCCCACGTTCAATCTTCTTCAAATCGGAATACCTCATTTCTCTTTTCTTTGCCGCCTCCTGCAGCGCTGCTTTCACCAGCCTTCGAGCACTTCCCTGCATGAAGGAAAATGTCATTCTTTTTCCTTTCATATTTTTCATCAACACCCATCTGGTTCACATGGTTCTTTCTTATCCAGATAAGCACCATAACATAATATAAGGGAAAGAACTGCTAGTGACAACCAATGCATTCATAGCAGAAGACAAAAAAAAAGTGCAGCAGCAATTGCTTAATGCTATTTTCATATGTCAATAAATCAGTAACTGGCTAACAAAAAAGTTGGAAGAAGCAATTGCTTACTGCTATTTTATGTCGGTCCAATACAACCAAGTGCAACAGAACCACTAGTGAATCACACATGCTTTTGTAAACACATATGGTTGCTAAAATCAGGATCCTATGTCAGATTGGTAAGTACAGGGTCTCGTGGATCAGATCAAATATTGTGTGTGTGTGTGTGTGTGTGAGAGAGAGAGAGAGAGGCTGTTAAACATGATGTATATTAAAATAATAAAGGGAAAAAAAAATCACTGGCTCAATGATTCTACAAGATCCTACACAACTATCCTACTTGCAATTTTGCTATAATACTGATTTTATGCTGATTTGGATGTTATTCGGATCATGATTTTAATAAAAATGGTGCCATCCCAGTTATTGACCATGCAAAATTTAGGAAGGCAGTATCAGAAAATCAAGCAGAAATTCCAATATTAACTACATCATTAATATAATAAATTGAAAAACAGAGGAATAGTAAGAACGGGAAAAAATACATACCTAACATCTAATACACATCAGAATTTTTTTTAGCAATAACCAAAGCAATGGTTCTAGGTATGTTAAAAAAGAATATAGGCCACAAGATCAGTACTGGTGATGATAATGAAGAACTAAACAGTTCGATATTGTATTATGTAGCATCCAAGAATTAAGAACTCATCCACTCCCAAATAAAATACTCACTAACATGTAGAGCCAAAGATAAACTTACATTGCAAGGGTGATTTTGTACTATGTCTACTGCTTCCTGATTGCTAAGGTGCTCCCATAATCCATCAGAAGCAAATATGAGAAATCGATCATCTGGTTGGAGTTCATGCACACAAATTGATGGTTCAGCGCTTAATATTGGCCTTCTAAAAGGTTCACGGAGGCGAAACTTAGCATACAAAGGCTCCCTGTTGAATTCAGCCTTTTTTAGATAAACATCACCAATTGATCTAGAAATCTGCAAGATGAGAAAACCCCCAAATAAGAAAAATCATGTCCAGCAATGCAGAAATGGAAATGCCAAATAAATTCATTGTTATGTCTGTTGTCCAACAAAATTTTCTTTTCTTTTCACAAATCAGCTGTCACTCTATGGAACCGTTACCAAGGTATTAACCTTATTGTTTTATTATTGAAGATCCCATCCTTTGTGTATATCTGTTTCAAATTTGGTTTTCAGTGAATTATTATTAGCATGCCATGAACAAAAGAAGCAACAGAACTTAACCCAGGGGGGGTGGGGAAGATTGAAACATGTGAGCTAACATGGCAAACCATGAAAAGTTGGGAGGCAAACGTCAAATGAGAAGACAAGTTACAAATGGACCTTCCATTAAATATTAGCATGTGGAAAACAAAAGGTACAAAACGTCAGAATGTTTGCCATGCTAAGGCAGTACCGCAGTAATACATCATTTCTAGAACTTGAGATAATGTGATTGTGCAAAAAGCCAAAACACATGAGTGAGTCAGGTGCTAAGTCAAGATGCAAGGGTTCTCATTAATGTTGGCATCACAAACTGAGCATTTAATTGTGTGTGTATATATTTTTTTGGATCAAAATCAAAAAGAGGCTAACATTAATGAACAAAAGGATTACAAAAGAACCAGGGAACAGAAGTCCTCCAAAAAGGAAAACAAAACAGTGTCTCAAGTTACATATCACATACTAGCATACTGCCCTCCAATCCCAAGAAATTAAAAAGAGTGATCCCCCCATAAAAGGAGAGGATACCGAAGCCCAAAAAGATGAAAAGTAACAAGCTCTATCCCATATTGGACAGCAATTGATTTGATACATGACATGGTAAAAGCTAGCAATAAACTTTTGAAGCTACCACAGTTGAAACTACCAGTCACTAGAAATAATCTCTGAATTTAAAAAGACCATACAAATTTAACTTTCCAAGTAAATGTGGTCAAAGAAGTAACAAATGAAAGAAGCCCAGAAACAATTATGACCTAGAAAGCTCTCAATTGACATGGAAGTCCAAATATAAGAATACTCGGACACAACATTGCACAATCGAAACTAAAAGGATGGGGTAAAGCTGGATCAAAAATAGACAGTGAGGTGCTTGGACTCCACCAATTCCAAGCCTGTCATACCAATCCGAGTCTTCAAGAATCTTGTGTTTTGTCATTTTTTAGGCCCAAAAGCTTCACCAACAAGAACAATTCCAAAAGAAGTCCTCTAAATCAAATGGCACCCAATAGACATGTTTGTCTCAAGTTGCAAATCCACATGGCTAACCAATTGCTTCAATGTACCAATATTGGCCACAAACAAGTCACTCAACCCACCAAAAGTTCCATTGTGTCATCAAGGCTTCCCAACCACACCATCATACACATTAAAGCCCACTGGAAGTGTTACCTACAACTAAGCTACCCGTACGTCAGACTCATAGCATCCATGACCTGTTCAATAGAGCCACAACTCCACAAGGTACACAACTATGTGCTAGTGTAGGATCCCCGACCTAGCTAACAAGCTCACACTGCACACAAGGTCCTCAGTGTGCATCTCATATAACAAAGGGGTCACTCTTGCCCCACACTAGCACCAAGAGTCACTTGCATGCCATATACTCCTCGTGCACACACGAGTGCCACCAGCCACCATAAATCATTGTGTGCCCATCATCATGCACATCTCCTCTGCCTTTGTTCCAAACAACTGGTGGCAACTCAATGATCACAAGCAAGACTCTCTAGTCAAACTCGCATATTGTGACAGCTAGCCAATTGAATAAGCTATTAGCCTTAAGCATTTGGGCTAGCTATAACTTGAGCATCTATGAAGTAATAAAAACCAATTAGAACAATGGTTTAGAAATGTACCGAATAGATTTTTTTTTTTTGGTTTGGTTTGGTTTGATTCATAAGGGATCATTTTGGACCTAGGTTGAATTTTGTGGAATTGACATAGGTTGTTTCCATTCTAAGTTAAGCATCAACCCAAAATGTGTTGACCCATGCAAACTCCTAACCCTTATATATCAGTCACGTTCTAGATCTAAACTTTTCTTTCTCTTAGCACCTTCAATCAAAGCCAAAACACACTTCCCCTGGGAGTGCAACCATTATTGTTGCGTGACCAAGCCATCTTAGGTAATTTTACAATTCTTGTACTTAAAACTGGACCAAGTTCTTTTGTGGGTAAAAATTGGCATTCATTGTGTGAAAAAAACTGCACTAACTTCTGACAGTCATTCACATTCTTTTCTTGTTTTTTTCCCTTTCAGGGTAGGGGGCAATTATTCTACATTCTACTTTTTTCTTGAATTAGCGTTCACTCATAGCTTCACTCTAGCTATGCTAATAATGAAAATGTACATCAATTATTGAACATCCAACAAACAAAGAATAAATAGACTTCTACATGCCTCATATAATTCTTTCTTCCACCATATGATTGCAAAACATTCCAAAAGCACTTTATTTCACTTCTTCCATATGTATGAGAAGCGCCTTCTCCAAACTTGCTACACTTATGATTATAGATCCAATAAACTAACACAGTCCCTTTAGGAGCTTAGCCAACAATTTCCAGAATTCCCCATTTATATCCGAATGTTACTGAAGTTACATCCAATATTCTGCGCTATAAAGCTTTTCCTTCTAAAGCATCTCTCCGTAGTTAAAACATGTAATTTCCCCAACTTAGTCTAGGTAACTCAAACTATTGCCACTCCCATGCAGAGGCCACCTTACATCAGACAAATTGACCAAAGAAATAGTGCTCATAAGATCAATAAAATTACTTAAACACAAATATTAGAATACCTACTAGAAAGAAGACCTAAAAGTGGGGAGTGAAATGAGGATTTTGTGATTATAATTAAGCAATCCAAAACCTTGTATGACTCAAAATAGGAGCACAAATTACTCATTCATGTAAAATAAGGGTAGAGGAACACAATAGTCTGAATTGAAACTGATGCCAAAACTAATCTTCTTCAGTGAATAGAGAAAGTGGAAGGAGGCAAAGTAAGATGCATAATGGAGGACCTGAAAAGAGAAAATTAGCCCCCAACATAGAAGTGTTAACACTAACTCATCTAAAAATTTAAGTTGTTAGAGGGAGAGTTAGGTTAATTATTTATATCCTCAACAAGCCCCCTCCCATGACGCTTGTTCTAGTCTATAAAGGGGCCAAATGCATGCAAATATTGCTATTACCAGGAAGCTGGTGAAATTCAATCACAAGATCTATTATTCACTCTAATCCCATGTTGAATTAATTTGCCACCAACTCATTTAAAGTTTACACTGTTAGAGAAAGACGGGTAGACTAGAAACAGAAAGAATACAAGAAAAAGAGAAGAGAACCAGCATAGTATCAACATGGGTACACAGAGAAACCCTTCCGCTTCCACATCTAACACATCTAGGAAGCATGGATATGGTGATACGATAAAATCTAAAAAAATAGGATATTGGTACGGTTAGGATACATTTGTAAGAAATTTATTTTAAAAAACATTATTTGTAGTCAAGTTACACATGAACTCAAGAATGTTTAGAAACTATACTGCAATTTTATAATGCAAAATACTAATGTTTAAGAATTAGGTATTAATTCAAGTAGTTAGCTAGTTTACTTTTAATTTTTAATAAGTGTTACAATTATTTTATTTCAATATTAAGTCTAACATATTTATATTACAATAATAGAACAGCGATATTTAATTTAATTTTACTGTCTAATTCTTTCTATGTGATTATAAGGGATGTGTACGATACAATAAGAATAAATTAATTTGACAAATTATATTACTGTAATTCACTATGTTCGTCATATCAAAGAACTATGCAAAGTATTGAAAAAATATTCTTATATTTATCATCGCAATTATATTATATTATAATGCTATGCAAAAAATGCTATAATTTTACTTTCATAAATGTAATACGTGATTTGGAGTGCCTGATATTTCAAAATTAATGAAAAATTAATTAAGAAGTATCCAATATGTATCTGTAAATATCCAAGAAGTATCGGTATCCGATACGGATACATAGCCCATTTAGAAGTATCCATGTTTCATAGGCTAACATCAATTCGTTACTTATGCAAAGAACTTACCTGTATCAGTCCCTTTACACGCCATACATTATGCTTTAAAACTACAATCTGTGAGTCATCCGGATGCAAAGATCGCAACTCCTGTCTGATGGACTCTATGCTCGCATTATGCTCTGTCGAGAGCTGGATGGCAAGAACTTCTCCAGTTGCCTGGACAAGCCTTCCCAAAACCGCACGAGAATCACCAAGGTTCGCAATGTAAAGAGTCCCACCACAGATCACCCCAACCAGGCAGCAAGATCCAACAGCTGCAATCTGGGGTTTAGTAGGCCACTGTTTAGTAACAAGAGAGAGAAACCCTTCTTCTGTTGCTTGAAACGCTTTCCTTATCACATCCACTGACATTGACTGTTGGTCGGCTGTAAACCCTGTCAAACACCAAATGAAACTGAACCCATCAGGTACAAAAACTCAATCCACATGAACAAACATTAAAACCCTGTTGTAAAAAATATGGATAATGAAAACAGCAACTGGAATTATAAATATGAATTTACAGCAAAGGTTGAACTTTTCAACCAAAATGACGTCTGATATTGGAAGTAGATTTTTTATGCTTGGTGCCTCGGTTGCACTTACTCTTTAGATTATGGAAAAGGTGATCATTGACATAGCGTGATGTCTCAGGCCCACCATGACCATCATATATTCCAACAAATGTTCCATATGGGCCAGAATCGAGCAAGCCTAAGTAACCTGATTCAATCTGACTCTGGTCCTCAAGCAAAGTGTTGGCCTGAACAACGGCCATTGAGAATTCACCATTCAAGTGCTGCCCGATGTCTTTGTACCAAAGGAGCCCGTCTTGTCTTCCAGCTGCGTCTGAACATGTGTGCACATAACGGTCCGATGAGGACCGCCAACAGGCCCTCAAAAAGTTTATCAACCTTGATAACATCCCTCATCTCACCAAGACCTACCACTAATGCCTCAACATCCAAGATGGATGCAATGAACACACCAATCAAAAAGTCTTACCACAAGCCTCCTCCCTAGCTGACCACCAATAATACTGCACCAAGATTAAAGTTAACAAAATTAAAATAACAAACCCTGAATAAAAAGATCACAGACCTGATAAAACATATAGTATCTTTCAGAATAAGAACAAAAGAGGTCCAAACACAGAAACCCAATTCTGTTCTTACTAAAGAAACAAAAACAATCATGACCCATACACTAAAAAATCTTAACATTTAAACTAAAGGGACAACAAAGAGAGATTTCCTTCAAAGTCTACACTTGATTTGAATCATACAACTATTTTGTCAAATACCTAACACCAAGTAAATTCAAATGCTAAAAACTAAAAAACAGAGTATGGAACTACAAAATACAAAGCTATAAACAGCATGAAACTCATATTTTTGTTTTCAAAAAACAAAAGGGAAAACACTCACTGTATGATTAGGCGGTTTCTTGTGCAGCTACTGAACCAAACCAAACCAAAACGACAGCGATCTGAAAGAAATTGAGCAATCTATATGGTGTTGAAAGTCTCAGATCTATAGATCTGCAAACTAACAGTTCTACACAGATTTATATACTGGGTCTTGCTTGTATTGAAGGTTCCTCAATCTTCCCTCCTCTCTTTGTTTTTTTGTGGGCAATATATGGAGAGACAGTGAAGAAACAGAGCGATGAAGCTACAGATAATTGAAGTGTGAGAGAGATGGGAACCAAAAAAAAAAATAGAAAAGAAAAAGGGGTGAGTTTTTCTCAATCAGTGCGTGTTGATTGAACAAGCTAGAACTGTGGGTTTTTTTTTTTTTTTTCCTTTTCTTTTTCTATTGCTATTTTCTCTTTCTTTCTCTAGTCTTTCTCAGTAGACAAACCCTATTAAAGAAAACGAACAAATCGATGGCTGAAAAACCAGCAACGCATATGGGTAGGCATGGGCTCCACAGACAAGGAAAATATGTGTATGAATGAAAATTATTTAAGTAGTGATAAAGTTGGGGGAATTATCAAAAAAATAAAAAAATAATCGACTTTTCGTAAAGTAAAATTATGTGCTTGTTCTGTTTATATCTCAAGATATAATTTTTTTTAAAAAAAATTATTTTATTTGGTTTAAATTCTTTTTAAAAGGATTTAAATTTTTTTTTTTCATACATATCTATCAATTACTTTTTCTCTCTCCTCTCTCATTCTCAATCACTTTTCTCTCATACATATCTAATCAACTAATAAGTTCATTAATTATTTTATTAAAGCAAAATTAATGAACTCATACACGAGTAAACATTTATCCCTTTCACTACAGGTGTCTTAAGATGATCTAATTATGGTGATTATATATATATCTATAAATATTTTTTTTTGTCAGATATATAAATTTAATAAATAATTATTAATTATCAAATATCAAATAGTATGCAATAAGGCTGGGCGCGGGTCGGTTGCGGTCATGAAAACTCTAATCCGTCATCCGTCCGTCAATCCAGCAGATATGGATTGAGCGGATTGGCAAATGGATGCAAATTGGTTTGAAGGTTTCAAATTTTATAAATTTTTAACATAATTCAACTTGTTCACTTCCTCAAAAAAAAAAAAAGGAAAGCAGTCTAAAATAACAAACCCTGAATAAAAAGATCACAGACCTGATAAAACATATAGTATCTTTCAGAATAAGAACAAAAGAGGTCCAAACACAGAAACCCAATTCTGTTCTTACTAAAGAAACAAAAACAATCATGACCCATACACCAAAAAATCTTAACATTTAAACTAAAGGGACAACAAAGAGAGATTTCCTTCAAAGTCTACACTTGATTTGAATCATACAACTATTTTGTCAAATACCTAACACCAAGTAAATTCAAATGCTAAAAACTAAAAAACAGAGTATGGAACTACAAAATACAAAGCTATAAACAGCATGAATCTCATATTTTTGTTTTCAAAAAACAAAAGGGAAAACACTCACTGTATGATTAGGCGGTTTCTTGTGCAGCTACTGAACCAAACCAAACCAAAACGACAGCGATCTGAAAGAAATTGAGCAATCTATATGGTGTTGAAAGTCTCAGATCTATAGATCTGCAAACTAACAGTTCTACACAGATTTATATACTGGGTCTTGCTTGTATTGAAGGTTCCTCAACCTTCCCTCCTCTCTTTGTTTTTTTGTGGGCAATATATGGAGAGACAGTGAAGAAACAGAGCGATGAAGCTATAGATAATTGAAGTGTGAGAGAGATGGGAACCAAAAAAAAAAAATAGAAAAGAAAAAGGGGTGAGTTTTTCTCAATCAGTGCGTGTTGATTGAACAAACTAGAACTGTGGGTTTTTTTTTTTTTTCCTTTTCGTTTTCTATTGCTATTTTCTCTTTCTTTCTCTAGTCTTTCTCAGTAGACAAACCCTATAAAAGAAAACGAACAAATCGATGGCTGAAAAACCAGCAACGCATATGGGTAGGCGTGGGCTCCACAGACAAGGAAAATATGTGTATGAATGAAAATTATTTAAGTAGTGATAAAGTTGGGGGAATTATCAAAAAAATAAAAAAAATAATCGACTTATTTTCATATAGTAAAATTATGTCCTTCTGTTTGTATCTCAAGATATAATTTTTTATAAAAAAAAAATTTATTTTATTTGGTTCAAATTCTTTTTAAAAGAATTTAAAATTATTTTTTTTTCATACACATATATCAATTACTTTTTCTCTCTCCTCTCTCATTTTGATCAATCACTTTTCTCTTACATATATCTATTCAACTAATAAGTTCATTAATTATTTTATTAAAGCAAAATTAATGAACTCATACACGAGTAAACATTTATCCCTTTCACTACAGGTGTCTTAAGATGATCTAATTATGGTGATTATATATATATCTATAAATATTTTTTTTTGTCAGATATATAAATTTAATAAATAATTATTAATTATCAAATATCAAATAGTATGCAATAAGGCTGGGCGCGGGTCGGTTGCGGTCATGAAAACTCTAATCCGTCATCCGTCCGTCAATCCAGCAGATATGGATTGAGCGGATTGGCAAATGGATGCAAATTGGTTTGAAGGTTTCAAATTTTATAAATTTTTAACATAATTCAACTTGTTCACTTCCTCAAAAAAAAAAAAAGGAAAGCAGTCAATGACTTAAAAAAATATTACCATCATTGCATGTCTCATGCAAAGTAAGAAAGTTTGAAACTTTAAAATATCACAATCACTGCATGTCTCATCCACATACTACAATCACAGCATGCCTCATCTATATAAAATATTACAATCTATGATTATTAAAATATAAAAACAATTCAAACTACCAAAACTATGAACAGAGCAGTAGTAGAGATTGTATGTCTCTGTATTGTTACATCTATATTTATTTTGAAAAACAAAAACCAACCAGCATATATCATATTTTCTATTTATTATTTTTAGAGATAGATTTATAAACAAAAAAATATAGATAAATAATACGTTTATTTTTTTCAATTCAAAAAATATATTCACGTTGAAAACTTTTTTTCAACAAAATATTTAAACTATTTTTTAATTGAAAACACAAATAGAATATTTAAACAAACTGAAAACACAAAATTTTATAAAATACTAGAGGTGTTCACAGTTTGGCGGATCGGTTGCTGTCAAAGGAATCTCAAATCCGCCATCTGTCCGCCAGATTGGCATATTGAAGAAAATCAATCCGCAACCGGCTGCTCGTCATCACGCATCCGTCCAAAATGCGGCGGATCGGTTCGGTTCGATCGATTTTGACGAATCAATATATCTGCTGTCCACCCCTAGTATGCAAATTATTACTGTTGTCGGATTTTGGTAACTAATTATTGTTAGCATGGAGCAAATATTTAAATCATGTTGTCTATTTTAATTGATATTGATATGAATTTCTTAATGGTGTATAAAAAATCATTTTGCGTCTAATCATCTTTGATTGATCAAGAAATCATGGTTGTGGTGATTAATTTTTTTTCTTTTTCTTTGTTTTAAAAAAAAAAACAACAACAGAACAAATTAATTTGAATCCCATTTTTTGTATTAGTTACTCAAATAAATAAATAAAAATATTATCGGCAAAAAATGGAAAACAATTTATAATTTATGTCGACGATAGAATGTAGGCTTTACATTGACCCGTGTAAAAAAAAAAAAACAACAACAACAACAACAACCAAACAAATCAATTTGAATCCCATTTTTTTATATTAGTTACTCAAATAAATAAATAAAAATATTATCGGCGAAAAATGGAAAACAATTCAATTCACTTTATAATTTAAGTCAACCAATTACATAGAGTGTAGGCTTTACATTGACCCGCGTCAATACCTTCAGCATGAAACAATTTTTATTCAAAATTTAAATATATTTTTACGTTGTAAGAGCATTTTTTTTCCTAATTACATGCATTCATTAGACTTATAAAATCAAGCTTAAATTACAATTATATCATGAGATTTATCTAAAATACAGATTGTTTTCTATGATTTGAAAAATTATAAATACTCATTTATTAGAATTTTTTATTTAACAGAATTAATTAAAAAAATAAAAATCATAATTATCCTCCAATATAATAATAAAATTACTTAAATTATTAATTGAAATATATTTTTAACATCATTAAAAACTATTAATTGACTTAATGATTTATTAATAAAATGAGCGATTTGTTATGAAATTAAAAATCTCAGGTGGTGAAATGTAATTTTTAAAATTATAAAAAATGATTCGTATTTTAATCAAATCTCATAATGCGTGTTTATTATTTACCCTAAAATCAAATTGAAAATCAAAATCAAAATCAAATTGAAATTAGTCAAAATCAAATGAACATGCGAAATAGAGTCTGCTCAAGTCAAAATCAAAACTCTGTTGAAATTTTAATCTGAAACTTCAAAACCCTAAACCGTATTACATCTTTTGAAATTTGGATTAATATTGGATCATTCTCCAATATCAACCTTTTATTTATAAATTTGTATCACCAATTAAGATAGTGTTCTCTTTCTCAATGTTGTTGTATTCAACTCACTTACTTTTCATGTTTTATTTTGGATGAATTACACTAACAGATTCTATAAGTTGGGATTTGTGTCACTTTAATTTTTAACATTTTAATTGTGACACATTTTATTATAAATTTTGAATCTTATCTCAAATAAAGATAATTTAAGATATTATTGTTCAATTTCAAGAGCAAAGTCGTCAATTTAATAAATATAAACTAATTTGACAAAAATAAATATCAAAAAAATATTTTTGTATTTTAAAAATTATTTATATCTACCAAAGATAAAATTATGTAAAATTGATAAATCTTTTACACATTTATTTGTTTATTTTTTTTTATCAAATTAATTTTTATTTTGTGTTTGAATGATGATCATGTAATGAGTGGTTGTTAGGTTTTTAATTTATTATCAATATATTTAATATATAAAATTTTTTTGTTTTAGATTTTTTTAATTTAATGTATTGGTTTAATAATGGTATCAAGTAGGGGTGAGTAGCGGATATACCAATCCGTCCAAACCGACCGAATTGATCCGCCACATTTTGGACAGATGCGTGATAACAAACGAACGGTTGCGATTTGATTTTTTCCAATCCACCTAATTTTGGACGAATGGCGGATTTGAGGTTCCTTTAGCCGTAACTGAACTACTAAACCGCGAGTACCCTTAGTAATTTGTAAAATTTTGTGTTTTCAATTGAAAAAGAGTTTTCAACTTAAATATATTTTTTGAATTGAAAAAATAAATGTATTATTTATATATATTTTTTGATTTTTAAATATAACTTTAAAAATAATAAATAAAAAAGATGATATATGCTGGTTGATTTTTGTTTTCAAAAACAGATATAGATGTAACAATACAAAGGCACGTAATCTCCACTACTGCTCTGTTCATGGTTTTGGTGGTTTGAATTATTTTTATATTTTAAGAACTAATTGTAATATTTTATGTGGATGAGGCATGTTATGATTGTAATATGTGGATGAGGCATGCAGTGATTGTAATATTCTAAAATTTCAAATTTTTTTTCTTTGGATAAGACATGCAGTGATTGTAATACTTTTTTAAGTAATTGACTGTAATACTTTCTTCTTTTTTTTTTTGAGGAAGTGCACAAGTTGAATTATGTTGAAAATTTATAAAATTTAAAACCGTTAAACCAATTCACATCCATCCGTCAATGCTCCAATCCGCTCAATTTACATCCGTCGGATTGGCTAATGGATATGGATTGATTTTCTCTAATTCGCGAATCTGGCGGACAAATAGCAGATTAGAGATTCCGTGACTGCAACCGACCCGCGCCAACTCCCAGTATCAAAGTTGTCGTCATATTTAACTTCTTGGAAAAATATAAACTAATTTAATGAAAATAAAAACAACCATCCATTACATGATCATCATCTAAACATATACTAAAAATTAATTTGGTAAAAATAAATATATAAAAGATTTATCAATTTAATACAATTTTATCTTTGGTGGGTATAAATAATTTTTAAAAAAATCAAAAATAATTTTTGATATTTATTTTTGTTAAATTAATTTATATTTTATCAAATTGATAATTTTACCTTTAAAAATGAATAATAGTATCTTCAATTGTCTTTATTTGAAACGAAATTCAAAATTAATGGTCAAATATATTATAATTAAAATATCAAAGACCAAAATAACACAAATCTCAAACTATAAAAACTTTTAATATAATTTACCTTTTTATTTTTACGCTTTTTATGGAGAAAAAAATTCCCTTTCCTCAGTGGGGTTTACTCAACATATTTTGGCAAACAAAATATCGATCAATTAATTTACATATACACACTTTCTTTAATTCACACCCCTTACTCAACACACATTTTAGAATTTTATAACTTTTTTTTAGTGCATATCATTTAACTCTCAAAATATTTTCTTCTATAAACCTTGTTCACCTACCAAACTAGCTCATGACTGCTCACGTGATACTCTTAATTAATAAAATAATATAAAAAATAATAAATATAGTCAATTTTTATCTACTACACAACCTATGAAGGTAGATCAAATCTACGGCAGTCATTCATCTAATAGCTACTATTTTGTGTAACATTTGATAAATGAATTGAGTTTAAAAACATAAAAGATAAATTAATTAAAAGCAATGTAAATATTATTTAGTAGTCGAAACACCACTATACGTGGCCAATTTTATTTCACACCCAACCGACCCAGACTAGTCAGGTCTACTCAAGGGAATTGGGGTGTTTTGAACTTTGGAATATTGAAATTAATAGGTTGGGGTTTCACATTTTTTGTTGAGTCATTTTTAAAATATATATATATATATATATATAATTCAGTTTAA